TTTTTTTAAGATAGATGATCTAAGCCATTTTTTGAACATTTTCCTCTTCAAAAATTAATTCTGCATGTACTGCGATTAGTTGATTAGAGATATATATATATTATATGATGCTAATCAAAAGTAAATATACTGTATAGGGTGGAAAATGTCCTTTACACAATTTTGCTAACTTTTGATTGAAATTATAATAGTCTCTGTAAGAGTATATAAATTACTTGATGATCACTTCCAAAAAGGAATAAGCTAAATATTATGATAATAACATCCAAGGAGTTTAACAAAATAAAAAAATAATGTTTATAAAGGTTAATATAAATATGGTTCGACATTTTTTGAGTTGGGTCCTTGATCATTTGGCGACTCGCCATCACTGGTGAGGGCCAACAGCGTAGGTGGCGGAAGTACCCACGCATAGGTAAGTTCTCCAAGAAGGTCGTACAGCGGCCGAGCATGAATTGCATAAAGAGCCGATTTCAACCATCCGGTCAGCACCGCAGGTATATGGGTCAGCTGGAAGGCGTTGTCATGAAAGCGAAAGTTGCAACTTGCGCCGGGGCAAAGTTTCGCAAAGTTGTGTAGCTGACGGCAGAGTAGTGCAATCGAGGCTATATAGTCGCGACGATCGTCAAACACATAGCATTCGATCCGATAGCGCGGTTCCGTGGTCGCAGGGCAGCCCAGGAAGCTGTACTCGCGCCGAACAAACATCTTGAAGTCCAGAATCTCTGCAAACTGGAAGAAAACAAGCAAATGCTCTGGCCGAGGGCAGGTTTGCCCATTGATCAGCCCCACAAGTCGGCCGAACTTTGAGAAGGCTTGCCTTACGTTGGGGTTACGCAGCTTTCGCTCCAGCTGAAGGCAGGCTCCATGCGAATAGTTTGCCGGAACCAGAGCAGGACCCATCAGACGAGCAAAGGTCGTCGAGGACTTATCGACTATCGACTCCAGCGATGTTGTGCTCGGGATCATTAATGGCAGTGGAATGTGACCAACCGAGTCCCGAAGTTGTGTCGGCTCCCTTAACATTTGCACTCCATTGTTGTCCGGTTGAGACATTCCAACATCCAAAGCGTTCTCCCCCTTGTGGGCTTCTCTCTGTAAAACTTTTGTAGCCGTTTGCTTTTGTAGGTCAGACTTACTGGGCCTGGCTTTGGTTTCACAAGTGTCTTGAAGGCGAAGTTTTCTACCAGGAAGTTCAGTGTTAACATTTAATTGCACTACACTCGTATTTCTAATAGCGGCGGCTTTAAGAGTGCCACATCTAGACCCACTCGAAGACCTATTAAAACTTCTGCTTTGCTGAGGGACGTCTCTTCTTTTAGGCTGAATGATATTCCGCTGTGCCTGTTCGGATGCATCGTCTACCTTATCCTTCCGAGAAACTAACTTGCCGCAGCGGCAGGAAAGACTCACGACCTGGCCTTGATAGCAAGTCTGGCCTGCAGCCTGAGATTGCCTGCGAATTGTCTCAAAAACGAGATCCCTAATGGGGGTGTTCCCAGCAGCGTCCGCCAGTTCAATGTGATGCGTACAATACACAATTGCGTAGTTGTCCGTCCTGTGATAGCGTTCGATAAGCTCTAGCTCCTCGGTGGTCAGCGTAGTTGTTCCAAGATGATGCTGCTTGTCTAGGCAGTAGCTGTGCAACTTATGGCATTTGGGATGGTCAGGCATGGACATGGGCGTAATAAACAGGACTATATTGCTCAAGTCTAGATTGCCAGTCAGTTCCCGAACAATCTGCTCTACGACGGACCTGGAGTTGAGGGTTCTGGCCACTTTTGGCTTTACAAAACGCTTTGTGATCCTAAAGGGAGCGGATAATGACATGCTGGTTACGAATCGACCGGCAAAGATTTTATCATCGCTTTTTTGCCACTTCCATTTACAATTGCTGCTACTTTTGCTGGAAGAGCATGGTTCATTCGAGCACTTGGTGCCAGTTATCTCCCCATAGATAAGGTGCAAGGTCTGCGTAACATCTTCGTAAAGGTTCGTCGACTTGTTATTCTCCATGTTTGATTTAATGCATTGGTTTTTAGATAAACTTATATTTAAAAGTATTTTGCTCACTAAACAATTTTGACATTAAGGATTAAGAACATTCAAAATAATTGAAGTAAAAATACTGGCCGGAAAACAAAGTTTTTATCGGAACAAGTCTTTGAAAATGTTCCTTTAAGTCAAAAACAACCAAAAACTATTCATATTTTTAATATTTTATCGGTGAGTATAAACATTTATTTAATCAAAATAATAAATCATGAAATATGTATAAATATATGGTGTATTTAAGATGGTCTTACGTGTGATCTTATAGCGCTTTTTATGAACAACTTTCTACCAAAATTCCTTGTATGTCCTGGCCAACGTTCGGATGTCTTTCCTTTGGTTAGTGTGTTGAATGCATAGGAGTTCCCTGTGGTTGCTCCAGTCCCCGATGCTGTGATGGAACATCACCTCCAGGATGAGCAGCTGCTCATAGAGCACTGTCCAGCTAACGCCGATGGTCGCGGCACAGGTCTCCAGGAGCCAGCGAAAGGAGCAGGGGAAGAGCTGTCGCAGCTCCCGCTTGTCGGACTCCCGCATCGTAGATATATAGCCGTGCAGGAGCCAGCAATCAAAGTTTGAGACACGCAACAGTAGCTCCTCGGGGCTCGACGGCTCTTCATTTGTGTCCATTGTCCTGGCATCCTCTTCATCCTTTTCTGCCTCTTCGCAAATCGTCCTTCGCTCCAGATGACGACGGGGCAGATCTAGTGGAACCTTCAACGGCTCCATGTTCCCCTCCTTAAATGTTTGCAGCGAGCTTAGGGTGTCGAGTAGTACCTCTTTGTCGTCCACTTTGAGCAGGTAAGTGGGCGTCTTGGTAATTTCCCAGTAGGGATTGTTCACCTCCAGTCTTTCACGCCTCCCATAATGCTTGTTTATTCTGTTCAGATACCGGGTTCCATAGGTTCCAGTGGGCTGAAAGAATCGAAAGTCCGGCCGTTTCTCCTTAACCTTCAGCTCGCCAAGCCACGTCTCGGTTTTGATGTCAGTATTGGCGCGGAATTCACGCTTGACACTTCGAATGTGCTGCAGGGGGCGAAAGAGGCCCACATTTTGGAAGTCCTCCTGACAGGCAACCTCTTCTACTCGCATACTAAGACCGAGCTGGGATAAGCGGTTTGATAGCTCGTTGGTCTCCAAAACGAAGGGATCCAGGTCTCGCTGCGCATGATCCACGTGCATGCAGTCTGGAATCCTCAAGCTGATATCCGCACCATCCGGACGCGAGGCTTGCAGTAGGATTCTCTTAAAGTAGGAGTGAGCGGGCGTCAAGCTGGGCTGGAATTCAATGTGTACCTTATCCACACTTTCCTGGCTGGACTCGCCGAAGTGCTCCTTCAACATCGTCTCAATTATGTGGGTCAAGTTTTCGTGCTGACGCTGCATCGCTGGCGTTCCCTGCACCTCGTCATAGTTGTAGCCCTGCTCCTTCTCTTTGCGCTCCTTGGCCAAAATGTCATCCACCTTCCTGCCAATTTGGGTGGCCACTCCAAAGCGATGAGCAAACGTCTGGTTGTAATGTGAGACAATAACTTTCCGTATGTCCACGAACTGCATCCACTCGGTGAAGACAAAGAGCAGGGGAGCTTCAGATCCCTTGTCTTCCAACAGTTGTTCGTTGATCTTAGCTGCCGATTCGGAAATCTTTTGCTCCTTGACATCGTCCAAACCAAAGAGCAACTTCATGGCGTAAAGGATGTACGCCATCGTTCTGGCCTCGTAGCGCGGGTAAGTGTGTGGACCCATGGCGTTGAAGAACGATGGCGGGTACAGATCGATCAGGCTACCAACGTACTTGACCAGGCGAGAAGGCAGGCCCAGCTCCAGGATATATCGCTCGGCAAGGGAGTGCAGATTCGGTTTCTGGAAGTGACTCAGGTTTATATACCGCGACATATACCCAACGTGCTGGCGCAGGAACTGAAAGGAAAGGTACGTAATAAGAAATAAGAAGAAATAACTTTAATATTTATAAAGCTAAGCGATTTTAATGGACTTAGGAAAACAAAAATTAATTAGGATTTTAAATTATGTTGGATCATCTTTTCATAAATCCTACACAGGATCAGCATCACTAGGATCTAAATCTACCCTTTTAAATATATGGTAATGATTTACTATTTTAAAAATACGTTATAATTTTTATGGAAATCGGACAACGAAATTATCATCATCAACCTTTTTTGTTTATAAACATATTCACAAAGTAATCAAAATATTGTTAAATAATAAATTATTTGTCTTCGGTTTGCCGAAACTGGGAAGTTTGAATAATCAAACCTAAACACCTATGCATATGACTGAAAGGATTGAGTACGCACCTTGTAGGTGCACTTGTCCTTGTGGTTGCCAAACTCCATATCCTTGAACAGCGCCTTGCCCTTGGCGGCCACCTTTTCGGGCAGATAGTTGAGTAAACATCGTTTGCTCAAATGCTCCTCATCGATGAACCGCAGCAAGTCCGTCAATTGTATATCGTCCTCCACCATGTTGAGGGCTATGCCCAGGATTACGTACAGCTTTGTGATGTTCAGGCAGAACATGTTGCGGTCAAAATATTGGAGTTCTTTGGCCTTCGGTCTCAATTCGTGGCACGACATGCTGCTCTTGCTATCCTTGCTGTGCTTGTCCAGGTGCTTTAGTGGCATCTGGCGCTTCAGGGACTTGCGGGCGTACAGGGACCACTGCAGGTTAAGACTCGGCTCGCCCTCGGACTCTGAAGGACCGCCCGCTTGGCTGTAGCCCGAGGCGTCGAGATTGCGCTGGAAAAAAAAAACCAAATGGTAACAAGGTCTTAAAGTCGCTACTGAGATAAACGTTATGGGTAATGGAAGCTCACTAATGCAAGGGGTAATTATGCCATTTGCATAGCTCGTGGCTGGATTTTAGCTATAAAAGAGCAACATGGCCAACTAGAAGGCAGTTCAGCAGCTTAACTTGTCACAAATATGTCTCTGCGTCTGGTTCTGATTTGCCTGGCCATTTTGGCAATGGTTTACGCCCAGCCCGCTCCAGGAGCTCCAGAAGCCACCGAGAGTAAGTCTTATCTTATAAAAGATATTACAAAATTCTTGGTTGACAGTTGCCTTGAATTCAGAACAATATAACAAAATGCTTATTAATTTATTTTATATCGTTAATACTCAAGTTTCCGATCCAGTGGAGGAGCCTTCAACAGATGACACCAAGTCACGTACTCTTTTCTTGCTGCTGCCCTTGCTGTTCCCCAATACATTCTATGTACCATAGGTTAATAAATACAAATAATTGAGCATTTAAGTACCTTGGTTTTGTTCCACAATCTGAACTTGGCGCGATCGTCGTTTGGATCTCCTACTGCTCTGGCCTTCTTGCCCCTCTTGAGCTTAAGCCGTTTACGGTTGTAGATGATGCGGGCATCTCTGGGGGGAGACAAAAAAGACAATACTTATTTAATTACTATTCCAAATAGCTAGGGATAATATATTGTGCCGCATGGGATTTTAGTCTATCTAAAGTGTAGTTTTCCGTTTAAAGAACCTAGAGTGCATATGGTATTTTATGGATCAAATTTCCACACAAGGAAATAGTGTGCGCATAGTTTATAATTGCACTCTTATATAAACGTAGTAATATGTTTACCATTGTTTTATCAATGAGTTTAAATATCGATAGCTTAGCCAAAAAAGGGTTGATAGTAAATCAAAATTCACAGGTCAAATAGTCATTTCAAAAACACATTAAATTAAGATATATTTTATATTTCTTGATAAAAAAAATAATATAGTGGGTAGGGTTTCTCGTATCAATGTAGTTTAAATGTCGATAGCTTAGGCAAAAAAAGGTTGATATTAAATCAAAATTCACAGGTCAAATAGTCATTTACGAAAACATAAAATTTAAATCAATTTTATATTTTTACACAATAAAATAATATAACGGTGGTAGCGTATTCAAGCTGTGCGTACAAAGGACTATCACCTACTGCGATGTTGGAAAATAAATCATTGTGAAATTTATTGGTATCACTCCTCACCTGTGAAGTGCCCGAACATTTAGCTTGGGCAGGCCATTCTCGTTGGTCCGGCAGAAGGCCACCTCCATGCGGCCCATGTAGGCGGCCCACACCTGCAGAGTCATCAGCTTGAGCTCCGGCTTGGCGCCCATGTTGAGCAGCTCCTGGACGAAGCCGCGCAGCACGTAGTTGTAGAACTCCCACGAGGTGATCTCGTCATCGTCCGCCTTGGCCGTCTCCTTCGGCTGGCGGATTGTCCTGGAGGCGTACCTCCCGCCCGGATTCTCGTTGAAGTTCTCGTCGGCGGTGAGGTCCACGGCCCGAATGTGGTCCTTCTGCGTGCCGCACTCCACGCAGTAGTAGAAGCCCGCCCGCTCCTGGAATGTCTGCTCCCCGCACACATTGCACTGCATGTTCTCCAGCTCAATCACCTCAAGGACCTCCTCCATTTTAGATAAAATATTTTAAACCAATTCGGGTTGTAAACAAAACGCAGCACAACACATGCGCGTTCATTAGAGATGACAGCAATATGCGAGGTATTTTTATCGTTATCGGGCACACGACGCCGCGTAATTTGAATTTTGTTTGTCGTTATACAACATGACTATACTAAAGTAAAAGGTATTTTATATTTATCCTTTTAGAGTCCATTCAAAAACATGCTTATAATCAAAGTTCATTTGCAATTAATGTGTTCCGAAATTTTTCTTGTCAAAATGTAAAGCCGTATAAAAACAAAACAGGTTCTTTGCTCCATTTGTGCATCATTATGTGTAAATAATTAAAGGAAAAATTCCTTTTTTTAAGTTAAAAACCTTATTAATTTTAAAAATTCTTTTTTTTTATTTATTTTCATTTAAAAATATAAATCAAATAAAAACTCATTACTTTGTGTCGAAGTTTATTCAAATCCATTGAAATTTAATATTTTTCCTATTGTTTCCATGGAAGCTATATGATATATTCGCCCGGTTTTAATGAAAAATAATTAAAAAAACAGCGTAGTTACAACTATTTTATTATTTATTTTATTTGTTTATTTTTGTGGTTGTTTCAATGGGAGCTATTAAAAAATGAGAACCGTTATTCTGAAATATGCAACCATTACTACAGCTTAAGGAATATAACTTTTGGGAAAGTTTCCTGCGAATAGCTTTAAAACTGAGTTTGCGTATATCGACTCTTTTAGTAATGCTGATCAATATAGGGTCGAAAATGTCTTCTTCAGTGCGTTGCAAACTTTTGACTGAAATTATAATACCTTCTGCAAGAGCAAAAAAAAAATCGTTCCCATACTAAAATGATTCAAATATTAAAACGGCGTAAAAATTAAATATTTGTTATATCAGAGCCAAATTCAAAATGCAATAATTTCAGTTATGTCAGTATTTTTTTGTTTGTTTATTGCACAATTACAATATACAGGTTCACTTTCATATAATTTATTACAACTAAAATTACTATGGTATAGAAAAATATGTGTGGGGGCTTTCATTCAGTTTATCCGTGCTACTCGCTAGATTTTTGGGATGGGGAAAGGCTGGGTCTGGGATCTGGTTAGTGAAAACATAAACAACAGCAAAGTTTGCACAGAGTCTGGAAACCGCACGTGCTAAACCTAAACTAAACTAGAGCTGTGGGTAATTTCAATTCATTTCATACGAACTCAGTGCGCCACGGCAAAGTTTCAAAGTCAACAGTTTTAACAGGTTCGCTTGGGAAAGCATAACAAGGTTTCATTTTATATTTCTTTCTCATTCTTTTTTTTTGCGCTTTTCAATGGTGGCATTGTAGGGGGGTTAAGGGCGCTCTTATAGTTAACATATCATAGTGACGATTATCTAATATGGTACATTCACTTTTTTTGTGTGGTTTGTTTTTTTTTTTGCATAGGATTTTTTTATAAAAAAAATTACAATGTAAGAATTCGTTTTGAGCTTAACAAAAACGCAAGCTAACTAACACTAACCTAACCGATTGGATTCGAGCGCTACATCGATCGATCCATCGATATAATAAATATTTCCTTTCTCTTCACGTTTTGTGTAAAAGTGGTTTTGGGGTAATCAAAGCGGTATAACTATTCCTAGATTTCTAGCGTATAAAAATATTCATAAACATTCGTATAATTTTGCTCAAGTCTTAAGATTACAGTTGGTTTCAATATGAATTTGAAGGCATTGAACGCACAATGTGCGCGTTATTGTTTGATTTTCCTTGTTTTATATTTTGTGTTTTTTTAGGGCGGGGCGGGGCGGGTCGTGGCGGGTAAATTGTTTGGGGCGGGTGTTTGGTGGTTTGTATATCTTAGTTGCTCTTATATGGTCATCAGTGGGGGTCAATTTGTACAACTGACTATGGGTGTAGTTAGGGCTAAGTTACTTGGCTAATCTAATTACAATATAGGGCTTAGGGCTAGTGCATAGCTATGCGTAGATATATCATTTCTAGCATGGTTCTTGTCGTTCCTCTCACGTTCTCTATAAGGCACAGATATTTGTTACATCAGTTGTTTATACACATAAATACTTTTCGCTTAGTGGAAATAAATACTACAAATTAATTACAAAAATGTACAGCGAAGATAGGGGAGTTATGGAAGGGGCTACACCTCCACGCCATAGTTGCGATCCACCACGTAGTCGAAGCGCTGTTGCTCCCCATCGCCAGATGCCAGGGGAACTGGAGCTTCCGCTGACTTAGCATCGGGAGTGGCAGCAGGAGTGGCAGCAGGAGTAGCCGCAGGAGTAGCCGCAGGGTTGGCAGCCGGAGGAGCTGGAGCTGGAGTGGCAACTGGTGCTGGTATCTTGGGCACTGCCCCGCCGGCGACCCGGTGGTGGTGCTCACTGAGATTCTTGTTTCTGTTGCTGCTGGCCACCAGCGCCGTATTGATGGCAATTGCCGTCTCGGGTGCATTATAGAACTCATCCTCGTCCTCTTCCTCCTCCTCCTCTTCTTCTTCGATGGGATTGGCCTCCGGCAAGTTGAATTCACTGGGCAACTCAGGCACCGACAGTCCCTTGCGTGTGAAGAAAGTGATCTTCTCCCTGTAAACAACAACCTTTAATAACGCTTCTCAGTAAAATGTACCCAAAAGTGACTTACTTGAACGACACCAGATCGGGGCAACCCTTGGGCACCTTGGTCTTCCGCAGCTTGTGAATCTCTTTGGCGGTCTTCATTAGCAACTTCTGCAGTTGGCGCTCCTCGGGGCATTTGGCAGGATCGGCTCGAGCCACCAGTCGCTGGAACTCCTCGTTCTCAATGGCCCAGGCGGCCACCAGCGGATCCTTGTTTTCGCAGGCCTTCTGCAAACTGTTGAATACGAATATTTTTAAATAATTGTTCTTCTTTGTAGGTTGTATATGCTAATTAACTTACACTTCTTTGAGGTTCTGCAGCTTGGCAATTTGATCATTGAGAAAGTACAGCTTGCTGTGCTGCGCCTGCAGATCCAGCTCCAAGTCCAAGCTGGTGCGGGGTATGTGAGTATGATGCAGTTCTAAAATAAAAAAGATACAAATGTTACTCAATACATCTATGGTTAAATAGATTGTTAGTATATATTCTAAATCCTCATAGTTTTTCTTGAAATAGCATCTTTGAATGCGGTGACCAAATAATTTGAAAGCTATTAGACTGTTATTTTTAAAATTTTGAAGGCTTTTTTAATATTTCAAAACGTATTCTTCAAAAATGTTTTTAGAAAATGAGGGGGAAAAAAGATTGATTTTAAAAAATATCCAAAAGGGATTAAAAATTCCTTCGATTAAAGACTAATTTATGGGGTTATTTAACTGAATCTATTGACATTTTTTGTTTATAAATAATCAGTTCATTCAAACATAATCGGTCAACTAATTTTGCCTCTTAGAAACATTAAAACTTCTTGTAATCTTAAGAGTTTTGTACTTACTTGTGACTGACTTGGGCGCTTTGGTGTGGAAGCGCAGGGATCGTCGCTCGGCGGCTCCGCGCTGGAAAGTGTGTGGCGCCACGCCGCAGTGCATCGCGGAGTCGGAATCGCTGCGGTTTAGTCGGCAGTTGTAGCGGTTCTTGCTGACGGCCGCCGATGGAGTGAAGGTTTGGGAGCGCTTCACGGGCCTGTCGTCCATCAGCTGGGATTGGCCACGCGACTTCTCCGGCAGGAAGGCGCGTTCGGTGTTCGTCTCCTTGTCGGCGAACTCCTGCTTCATGTTCTGCAGATAGGCGTCCAGCATGCCGCTTGCTGTTGATTAGATTAGAAAAAAGT